CGAAATACTGCGCCTGCCAGTGATTATGACCCTCGGCCGATGTGATAAACCCATGCCACGACCCTGACTCCGGGCACTTGGCGAAGGCTGCGCGAGGAGTTTAGACTATAACCCCTACAATCCCCTACATGACCCTATATATAGCTCTTTCCATTTCATTTTCCATTTTCTTTTCCATTCGATTCTCCATTATAGGGGGATAATCCCCCTAAACCCTAAATCCTAAACCCTAAACCCTATAATAGGAGGAGCAAGCTCTGAAGATGGCAGACTTCTTTTTGGGATCTACGGCTCCGTCTTTACACTTTGGGGGTCTATTTTGGGGGGGTTCCCAAAATTAGGGGTACCATTCTGGGGGTCCCTATAAGGACTATAGTATTTTGGGGTCTATATTTGGTTCCCCCTATTTAGGGAAACTACCATTTTGGGGGTCCGATTGTAAGGATTCGTTTGCTCTAGGCTATGCGCTATCCGGGTATCCGCTCTTGGTCCGTGCGCGCTAGAATCGCTGAACCCTAACAACCTGCATAAGCGCACTCAGATGTCGGCAGATTCTGTATTGCCTAGGCATTATAGTCACAGGCTGGAATGACCATAGCTCCAGGAGCATGACTTTACATGGTGCAAGATTTGCACAGCCCCCCTAGCTTCTGAACCCTAAGCCCTCCAATAGCCTAGCCCATGCAAATACCCTAAACCCTCAACCCGAAGCCCAGCAGCTGGAAAAAGATCCGTTAAAACACATGCATTGCCCCTCATTCTTGTGCTATCTTGTGCTAACGTGTGGCGGTGAGGGGCTCACATGGCTGACCCCCTGCAGGCTTTGCCTCCCAGGGCAGAGGAGCCTGCAGATGAGGCCACTCGCAAGGCTTATAAACCCTAGTGTTTAGGGTATAGGCTAGGATTTAGGGTTCAGGGTATATAGGGTTTAGTGTACAGGGTTTCGGGTACAGGGTTTAGGGTATAGGATGGTATAGGGTATTCCGGGGAATCGTAGTAGCCATCATCATTACTAGCATGTAGGTAATGTCAGTATCTACGCCAAGTTTAGATGCAGTCTAGCCTCTAGAGGAGGCGTATGGAAGCTTGCTGCAGCAGAACTCGAAACGATTGCAAGTAGCACTACGGTGGGCCATGAAAATCCTGCATGATCCTAAGAACCCTAAACCCCGGGAATTGTTCAGTCTAGTATACTAAGGTCATGCAGGATATTTAGTATCTACAGTATGTCTTTACTATTATTACTATTAGTACAATGATTACTACTGCAGATGCTAAAGTGCAGTGGCCATACCCTGGTATAGACCTGCCAGGAATCCTCTACAGCTAGACCTGCTAACAATCGAAGGCATGCGCAGGCCCCTGCAAGGATCTAGAAAGTAGATCCCCCTAAAGGGTTCTTAGAAATTACTCGATGGGCGTCTGGGTGCAACTTCAAATCCATCCGTACTCCTGACTTCCCCTGCAGTGAAAAGTCGGCTGGGGTCCTTTTGCGCAGGCTACAAGATGATTCTACACATTCTAGCCTTCATCTGGGACTGTGAGGGTGATCCTCTTGTTTGAGCTTTCAAGCTGCACTTCTTCATATCCGCTGATGTCCCTCACGGTCCGCTTCTTCATCATTATCGCGAGAGTCCCACTGCAGTTCAGCTGGCTTCAAGGCTTTTTCGCGACCCTTGGCTGTAGTCTTGAGAGTTCTGGCCAGGCAGCGCACACTCCAGAAGTGGAGCCAGCTGCTGAAACCCCCATTACCGGGGATGCAGAGGTGCCGCCGAAGTTGTAACATCGCAAGGATTCATTGTCTTGGGGCGCAGCATGTAAGAGTTTCCCACACGGGAAGATTCAAAGTTACACTGTTTGGGGTAATTGCTGAGCAGAGGCCTTAGAGCACGAAGCCTGCCAAAAGGCTGTGTTCACCATGATAGTTGTAGAAAGCACGCATCTGCTTCCGATATGTATGTATCGCAGCCCTGTCGAATTTGTCAGGCTTACTATAGCCTTTGTAGTCTCAGTCCGCTCCTCTCAAACAACCGTGAGAGTCCCGTCAAAGACCCCATGATGCCTCGTGTCATCCGCAATCCTTGAGATTCAGAATGAGACCCTGCAACTACATATTTAACCGCCAAACCTCAAACATAGATTTCCAACCTCTAAACAAGGTCCTAGACCCCGCTCCCTGGACCAGAGACCTACAGTCTAAACTAAACCTTGAATCAAAAAACCCACGCCTTGAACCCTATGCCCGAAATTCTACAACTTCCAGACTCAAGCAGTTTGGAAAAAGAAGTGATGAACGACCCCACTAAACCTTCAACCAAAAGCCTGAGAACGCAACAAAAAACGTCATGATGCATGAGTTTCCACGAGTAGGGACAAGCCAATATAGACATCAAAAGACATTATCGTCCTCATTATGGGGACTCCAAAAGGGACCCGTAAGCCCTAAACCCTGTATGTCCATATATAATCTTATACAACCCTTGTAACCCCCTTTGAAAGGTACCCCTACGGTTGGGAAACCCCCGTGTGCGTGGCCGCCGGCACAGGTCTTTGAGCCGGACAGGCAGGCGGAAGAAGTGGCTGAGGCAGGGCATCTTCAGGCAGTTTGGGGCTTAGGGTTTAGGGTTTAGGGTATACGGGGTTAGGGTTTAGGGTTCAGGGTTTAGGGTTTAGGGGTTTAGGGGTTAGGGCTCAGGGCCTAAGTTACGTTTATCTTACTAACCCCAAACTCGTTGATCTAGAAGTCGTTTGGGGAAATTAGTTAGGGACTCCTATAGGCCTACAAGGGAACATCTAGAGGAAGTCAGTGTCCACAATGGCCGTCTTGGGAGCAGGAATCTCGATCACTACTACGATATCAAGATAGGAAATGATAGTCTCAATTACGGATTCCCTAAACCCTAATTTGGGAGTGGATTTTTCTTGGGGTCTAGGATTCGTTTTAGCTACAAATTTATCTGTTCTTGGGGTTTAGGATCCTATGGATTGAGGTAGCCTATGCTTGCACAAACCCCTAAAACCAAGGCCCTAAACCGCACTACACCCTAATGGCTGGAAAGTGTGGGCCACGAAGTTGCCCGCCGCGGTTCATAATCTGGAAGGTTCTCACAAAGTGGGTTTAGGGTTTAGGGTTTAGGGTTGTAGAATCCTTTACAGTACTAATAGGGACCTCTGGATTGTAGCAGGAACCCTCGAAATCCTTTTGCGATTCCCATCCTTCTCTGAGAAATCCTAGTCTACTCCTTCACTGTCACTCTCAACCCGAGACCCTAAGCCCTATAATATAGACCGAATAGCAGGTAGAAAAAAGCAGCTTGGTTGCTGTTAAGGAACTTAGATTACTATATAAGCCACGTTATTTACTACATACCCGTATTTTGCTGAGCTAAATCAAGTTCCTTAACGTCAGCCCAGAAAAAGGTCCCCTAAAAGTCCTGTCGCCATGCCAAGGAGCAGGCGGCTGCACCCTGGCAGGCTCCCGAGGCCGGAGCTCGGAGTTTTTTGGCAGATTTGCTCCTAATCAGGGACCCTTGCATATCTAAACTCCTTCAAGAGGGTTATGGGGATTATGTAGGGGACTATTGTAGGGCTTATTGAGGAGGATACTAGGAGTGTAGTCTATAGTTCATGTGGTGGCTGCAAAACGCCTTATGCGGGTCCCTGCCTTGAGCAACATCTGCACGGGTTGAGATCTTGTGAAAGAGATTGTCGTCAGAATCATGTTTATGGTAGCCTAGGGTTTAGGGTTTTGTTTGGGTTATGTAGTTATGTAGGGGCATTTTCATGTTGACTCCCTTGTTGAGGCCGCCTACATCCCTATAAACCCACAGTTTCCATTTCATCTTCCGTTTTATCATGAGGATCCTTAAGCCTAAGCCCTAAACCCTAAACCTTTTTCTTGGACAACAGAGGTTGCAGAAGTCACGTGCATAAGGGTCAAACTGGAGCCTGAAGTAGTTCGTGTCAGGGTTCACGTGAGCTATAGTCTAAACTCCTTAAAGGGGGGGTTGTCTATTATATAGGAGATTTTATAAGGGAGTGTTATAGAGGCTGTTAAAGGGGATACTAGGAGTTTAGATTAGTGTCTTGACTCACAACAGGACGCATTCAGTCGAATCTCACGAGCCTTTTAGCTTCCCGAGCATGAAGCCTTGTCTGGCTCTATGCGGCCTGTCACGCTACCCTGTGGTAAGAAATCAGTTTATTTTAATCATACTGTTAGTATCCTTCGCATTCGTAATGTTGTTATGGATCGTCGTAGTGTTGTTAAAGCTGTGGATGACATGGATCCGTACTTCTATTTTGTGAGGCAGAAGTCTCGGCTGAGCAGCAGCCCGTCAGCCCTGAAGCAGAGGCCGCGCTGGCCGTGCGCGCTTAGACAAGGCTTCTGGAAGCTAGTAATAATGAGACTGATAATAGTCACATAGTCTTAACAGTAGTAATGATGGTATTGGTTCTCTCTGTTTTTGGCCTTAGTCCGCTGTACGCGTCCGATGGACAGAGCAGACGCATTTATCGGTATGAGGACAAGCTGCAGCCGGAACAGGTTTGGAAAACGGGGGGGTATATAGGGATGTATAGAAAGTGCGAATGCAGTTTCAAATGGAAGAAGACAGTGGAAAATGACCTGGAAACAGGGGTTATGGATGATCTCAAGCCATACGGGTCATTCCATTGGACTTTGTGCTTGAACTTCTTGCTTCGTGTGAGATGCTTACACGGGCTGTGGCAAGAGAAGCTCCCTGCCCTTGAAACAGTTGTGCCATGCAACTTAAAACTTTTTGACTTCAAGCCTCTGGTTAGGGGAACTTGCCCCATGTGCCAGCAGCCGACTTGCAACTGGTTGTCTCAATTGCAGTCGCCTCTGCCGGCTTGTTGGACTTACCTGAATTCACATGAGTCGTCTCACTGAAGCATGTGGCATTATGACTTCACACCACTTTTGCCGACAATCGAGCAGTATTTTGGTGCATTTTGGTTTCGCGCTCCGCTCATGCGGAGCGTACCAGGCCGACCTCACAGCGCTTGCGTAATGCATGCCAGGAGTGCTCCGAGGAGAAGTCTGCGGAAGAGACAGCAACCGCAGAGGCCGAGGAGCCTCCTGCGTGCGATGATACAAGAAACATGTTGTTGCTGTTCTGATTTAGGTTAAGTCCTGCTGCTTGGGCGGTATCAGGCTTTTTGCAGCGTGAGGTGGAAATTGCGAATTGGCGGCTAGTGGAACTGCGAGTTAGGGTTATAAGGACTCGGGTGTTTTGCTGTCATCTAAGCTTATCCTGGGCTTGCCCCGCTATCGTTTGCTCAATGATAGCCTTACGACCTATTTCTTGACCAAGTGGCAGTGGCAGTTTCCTCAAAAGGCCCAGAGAACCTTTGTAACTAAAACCTCAGGACAATCCACATATTCCCAAGATAATGAGACGAATAGTCCTAGTAGTCTTGATAGTAGTGATTATGGTATAGATTGTCCATGTTCTTGGTCTCAGTCTTGCGCTGACGTGGTGCGCCATTATTCTCTGCTGACACATTTTGGGTATGAGGACAACCTGCAGCCGGAACAGGTTTGGAATACGGGGGGGTATATAGGGATGTATAGAAAGTGCGAATGCAGTCTCAAATGGAAGAAGACAGTGGAAAATGACCTGAAAACAGGGGTTATGGATGATCTCAAGCCATACGGGTCATTCCATTGGACTTTGTGCCTGAGCTTCTTGCTTCGTGTGAGATGCTTGCACGGGCTGTGGCAAGAGAAGCTCCCTGCCCTTGAAGCGCAGCTTCAAATTCTTGACCACGAGCCTCTGGTTAGGGGAACTTGCCCCATGTGCCAGCAGCCGACTTGCAATTGGTTGCTCAACTGCAGTCGCGTCTGCCGGCTAGTTGGACTTACTTGAATTCACATGAGTCGTCTCCTTGAAGCATGTGGCATTCCGACTACACACCACTTTTGCCGACAATCGAGCAGTATTTTGGTGCATTTTGGTTTCGCGCTCCGCTCATGCGGAGCGTACCAGGCCGACCCCACAGCCCCTGCGTAATGCATGCCAGGAGTGCTCCGAGGAGAAGCCTGCGGAAGAGACAGCAACGACAGAGGCTGAGGAGCCTCCTGCGTGCGATGATACAAGAAACATGTTGTTGCTGTTCTGATTTAGGTTAAGTCCTGCTGCTTGGGCGGTATCAGGCTTTTTGCAGAGTGAGGTGGAAATTGCGAATTGGCGGCTAGTGGAACTGCGAGTTAGGGTTATAAGGACTCGGGTGTTTTGCTGTCATCTAAGCTTATCCTGGGCTTGCCCCGCTATCGTTTGCTCAATGATAGCCTTACGACCTCTTTCTTGACCAAGTGGCAGTGGCAGTTTCCTCAAAAGGCCCAGAGAACCTTTGTAACTAAGACCTCAGGACAATCCACATATTCCCAAGATAATGAGACGAATAGTCCTAGTAGTCTTGATAGTAGTGATTATGGTAGAGATTGTCCATGTTCTTGGTCTCAGTCTTGCGCTGACGTGGTGCGCCATTATTCTCTGCTGACACATTTTGGGTATGAGGACAAGCTGCAGCCGGAACAGGTTTGGAAAACGGGGGGGTATATAGGGATGTATAGAAAGTGCGAATGCAGTCTCAAATGGAAGAAGACAGTGGAAAATGACCTGGAAACAGGGGTTATGGATGATCTCAAGCCATACGGGTCATTCCATTGGACTTTGTGCTTGAGCTTCTTGCTTCGTGTGAGATGCTTACACCGGGAAGCTCCCTTCTTGATATCAAGCCTCTGGTTAGGGGAACTTGCCATTGCCATATGTGCCAGCAGCCGACTTGCAATTGGTTTTCTCAATTGCAGTCGCCTCTGCCAGCTTGTTGGACTTCCTTAAACTCACTCGAGTCATCTCATTCAAGCATGTGGCATCAGCTGTTAGTGCCATGTGATTTCAAGCCACGTTTGCTGATATTCCAGCAGCATTTTGGTGACTTGAGATTCGCGCTCCGCTCATGCGGAGCGTACCAGGCCGACCCCACAGCCCCTGCGTAATGCATGCCAGGAGTGCTCCGAGGAGAAGCCTGCGGAAGAGACAGCAACGACAGAGGCTGAGGAGCCTCCTGCGTGCGATGATACAAGAAGCATTTTGTTGCTGTTCTGCTTTAGGTTAAGTCCTGCTACCTGGACGGTATCAGGCTTTTTGCAGAGGGAGGCGGGCATTGGGGATTGGCGGCTGATGGAAGTCCAAGTTAGGGTTATAAGGACTTGGGTTTTTTGCTATCATTTAAGCTTATCCTGGGCTCGCCCCGCTGTCGTTTGGTCGGTGATAAAGGTTTAGGTTTTGTCTTATGACCTCTTGACCAAGTGGCAGTTTCCTCAACAGGACCCCAAGGACAATCCGCCAACATTCCCAGTGTATCCCTTTCAGGAATGACTCTATTTTGGGGGTCCTAAGAGGTGCAAGAGAGTGCTTAGGATCCTCAAATTTGAGCAACTCCCAAATGTATTGAAATCACAGCCTCTTGCCCAAAGAGCCCTCCAGCTCCCGCTGCAGGAGCCATCAACGTCTGTGCAGGTGCACGAGGCGTGAGACGTGGGCGTGTTAAGGGCAGGGTGGGGATGGGGCTGTTCATGAACCCTGAACCCTTTATATTGGGGTTATGTTAGGGTTATATTTGGGTTATAAACCCCAAACCTATATGGTAGTTTCCCAAAATAAGGGGACCCCAATCTTAACCCCAAAATACTATAGTCCTTATTATGGACCCCCAAAAGGGTACCCCTAATTTCAGGAAACTTCCATATCATTCTTACAGGTTGAGCAGGGGGTTCCGGAGTTGCAGGCCCTGGCATGTTGCAATGTACAAAGGTTTAGGGTTTAGGGTTTAGGGACTGGAAAAACCTTGAAGACATTCTGTATGCTGTAATCTGCAGTTCTGAGAACTAGCTGAACTTGGAGTCAGAAGGTTTTTGGCTCTACTTCTTTACAAGTTTAGCAGAGGTCTCAGAGTTGTCTTTTGTGGTCCTGGGTCTTCGGGTCTTCAAGTCAGGGCCTTCGCATTTTCATGTTGCTCCGTGGACTCTGCTGTTGAGAAATGTTCTGCGGCTTCGTTCTTGAATAGGGGACTTTTATATTGGGTTGAGGGTTTTAGGGTCGAAGCTCCTCAAAGGGGGTTTTATAGGGATCCCTTTATAGGGCATAGGCGGCAAAGGGGTTCATACCGTACACAGTATCAACTGCATCTGTCATCTGTATCACAGACGCAGCCATGCAGACTTGTTTCTAAACTATACGGCGCCCAAGCGTTGCTACGACTAGTGCTTCACAGGTGTAGTTCCCAAAATCAGGGTCCCATGTTGGTACCCCTAAATATGCGCAAATATATAACCTATAACCAACAGGGGCCCATAAATTTGAGAATAACCCACATGTCATGGCTGTATCTTTGCTGATTTGCTGCCAGCTCTCAACAAGCTGAGAGTACCAGGGCAACTCACTACTTAGCTGGTAGGGCCAAAGCCCTTGGTAGTCCCCTTCTACTGGAGACAAACAAGTCGAGGACAGGCCTAGTTCCGGTTAGTCCTGCCTTCACACGGGCAAGGGCCTACCCTAAATCCTAAACCTTACAACCCCTAAGCCATTCGTGCAACAAGGAAAGGGTACTTTCCCAAAGTAGGCGGACCCCAAAGAGACCCCCCAAATATTATCATATTATTCCTTATTATGGGAGCCCCTAACATGGTACCCCTAACTTTGGGAAACTCCCATATGTCAGCAGTAGGCCCTTGAAGTGCTTCTTCCTGCACCCTTCTTCCCTGCCAGGAGTGCTCGGAGAAGCCTTTGGCAGACACAAAGGCGGCGGAAACTGAGGAGCCTTCTGCAAGCAATGCAGGCAAGCTCTCAAGGTAGCCATTATCAAGCATCTTTTTTGGCATAAACGCGAACAGGAGCGTTATGAAATGTGCCATTGGCTTCGACCGTTTTCTTTCGAGGCTGTCTGATTGCAACAGGATTTCTGTTCAGCCTGTTCCCAAGTTTACTTCTTCTTGATGCGAAATGCTTCTGGTTTGGCCGGATAAGTAGGGACCTAAACCCTAAGCCCTGAACCAAGCCTAAATCCTGCCTGAACCCAACACTAGAAGATTTTACTTGTTTGACTTAGTTTCCATCTCATGGTTCTGGGGTCCCCGCACGCCCTAAACTCCAAACCCTCAACTCTAAACCCCCCGAAATCAGGTGCTAAAAGAACCCCTATAGAACCCCTATATATGTCGCCCATATAACCCCTATATAATTCCTATATACCCTTTAAAGGAAAGGAGCCCAGAAAGTTTCTAAACCCTGCAAAAATCAGGAGCTGGAGGCTGCACCTGTGCAGGCTCCCGAGGCGCAGGCTCGGGCTCGACTTTACTTTTTACAGGTTTAGGGATTAGGGTTT